GGTCTGTGGTGGTTCTGGGGGGGTCTGTGAGATTTTTGGGGTCTGTGGGGATTTGGAGGGGGTCGGTGCTTTGTGGGGTTTTCCCTCTTTTTTCATTTCCATAACCAGCGAGGGTTTGGCGGTCCCTGCCGGCCGGTGGAGCTGCCAGCCCCAGCCCGGTGTTTGTGTTGCAGACAGAGAATGGGGTGTTGCTGCCCTCCCTGCAGTCTGCCCTGCCCTTCCTGGACCTGCACGGCACCCCCCGCCTGGAATTCCACCAGTCGGTTTTCGACGAGCTGAGGGAGAAGCTGCTGGAGAGGGTCTCGACCATCGCTTTGGAAGGGAAAGTCGAGGAGAGGTTGGTGGGGGGGAGCTGGGGATTTGGTGTGAAAATCGGTGAGGGAATCCTGCAGAGCAGGGTGGGACTCCTGGGGGATTCCAGTGGATTCATGATGAGCCACTTTGGTCCGTTGCTGTTACATTGTACTGAGTCTCTCACATGCTTTCAGATACAAGAAGCTGGAAGATCTCCTAGAAAAGAGCTTTTCCCTGGTCAAGATGCCTTCCATACAGCCCGTGGTGATGTGTGTCATGAAGCACTTGCCCAAGGTAACACCACTGTGCCTGTTGGCCTGCTCTGCTACATCTCTGGTGTGTGGATTCCCTTTGCCTCCTGGGCTGCATCTGCAAGTCTGTGGTTCAGTGTTAGGAGCTGACAGAAGATTTGCTGTTCTTGCACCTGGTAGCAACTTAGTAGACTTAATTCAGAAAGCAGGTCACATTTTCACAGTCAGATAAGACTGTTTAATTATTTGTTTGATACATGCAGCTTCCCAAAAATAGTCAGGTTCACTGATGAGTGACTGTTTCCACAGGTGATTTAAAAGCTGATGGAAAGTAGAAAATAAGATTTGAAGAATGCAACTAGAAGTAGGTGGGAGTGAGATTCAGGTCTGTGAAATAGAAACCTCTAGGAGTAGCCTCGTGCTTCAGGTCATTGATTTAAAACTGCTGCTCCAGCTTTTGTACATCACTGAGTTTTGAAGCATCACCCCAAATCTCAGCTTCAGAGGTTTAAAGGAACTCTTTTTTTTTTCCCCCTCTTTGAAAGAAATGAGGAGAAGCTTGGTGCCTGATTTGGTGGTTGAAGGCCAGTGTCTTGGGACTGGCTGGCAGCTGGAGGAGTGGGTGAGGGAAAAGGTGACTCTGTGGCTGTGCCTGCTGTTTGATGGTGTTGTGTGAGTGACCAGGCTGCCTGAGCTGGTGCTTGGGATGACTCCTGCAGCCAGTTACTCGTTACTTGGGCAGGCAGGTGGGTGCTCTGCACTTTGGTAACTGTTCCATTGCTCATAGGTCCCTGAGAAGAAGCTGAAGCTGGTGATGGCTGATAAAGACCTGTACAAAGCCTGTGCAGTGGAGGTGAAGCGCCAGATCTGGCAGGATAACCAGGCTCTCTTTGGGGATGAGGTTTCCCCCCTGCTGAAGCAGTACATCCTGGAGAAAGAAAATATTCTCTTCAGCAATGACATCTCTGTCCTGCACAATTTCTTCAGTCCATCTCCCAAAACAAGACGTCAAGGAGAGGTAAGGACAAGGGACACCCTTACCTATCTTTCAGGGTGGAACCCCTCAGCTTCCAGTCAACCTCAAGTAACAGAGTGTCTGTTTCACCCTCCTGACTTTGCTACCAAAGTTCTTTAGCTATATGAAGTGTTTGCAAGAAATACCAGGCCATTTTCCCTTACATATCTCGATGAAAGCAGCAAGAATTGTTTTAGTAGTTACTCAGTGCTGTATAATAATTGATCAATGTCCTAAGCTGTTTTTTTTTAAAAAAAAATTAACAAGGCCATTTTTTTTGCTTTATTGCTCAATCAGGCTTTAATACGCCTCAGCTGTTCTGCAGGCTGAACACCTTTCTCAGTTTGAATAGGTTCAATTTCTTTTATTGGAATTTTAGTTCTTTTTTTAGCAGGACATTTGTAAAAATGAAGAAGGCCATTGAAAGCTGTAGCTAAACTGGCATTCAGAGAAGCTGCTGTTTGAATGGAATTACATGAGGTGGCTGAGCTGCTCCAACACTTTGGCACAGAACAGGCAGGTGCTGCTCCTCCCCTCCTGGACCTCTGGTGATTACCAGACCCTTTCATGAGCTGATTCAGCTCAGTAGTTGCTCCAGAAACTCTCATAAACAAAACCAATGAGTAGTTTTCCAAGGCAGTGAGTTGGATCTGCTCAAAGAAGGGAACAGCTGGCTCCAGAGCCACTGTGAGGAGATAGGTTGGATCACAGGCAGGGCTGATGTAGGAGGAGCAGTGACACAGGCCTTGGGAGCAGTGGGTTTCTCCTCTTCTGAGTGACAGCAGGTCAGGGCACTGGTTCAGCTGGAATGTGTCACTTCAGGTCAGGAGGCTTGTGCTCCAAAAGGGAAATACCAGAGTTTCTGGAAGGGATTTGCTATTGGGAATGCTGATGAATTGTAGTGATAGAGCAGTATAATCCCAGAGTCTCAGACTGGTTTGGGTTGGAAGGACCTCAAAGATCATCCAGTTCCAACCCCCTGCACGGGCAGGGACACCTCCCACCAGCCCAGGCTGCTCCAAGCCCCATCCAACCTGCCCTTCAACACTGCCAGGGATGGGGCAGCCAACAGCTTCCCTGGGCAACCTGGGCCAGGGTCTCACCACCTTCAGAGTGAAGAATCATCTCCTGCTGTCTCACTTAAGTTTCCCTCTTCAAGTTTTAATCCCTTCCCCTTTTTCCTCTCCCTCCCTGCCCCTGTCCCAGGTCCCTCCCCAGCTTTCCTGGAGCCCCTTCAGGCACTGGAAGGTGCTCTAAGGTCTCCCTGGAGCCTTCTCTTCTCCAGGCTGAACACCCCAGCTCTCCCAGCCTGTCTCCAGAGCAGAACTGCTCCAGTCTAAGGCTTTAATTTCAGTGAGGGTGGCACATCTGTTACAGTGGGTGTTTGGCTTGGTCTGTTTTGCTTTCAGAAGCCCCTTCAGTGTAAACCCTCTGGTGCAGTTCATTTCAGGTTTACACAGCAGACTTGTGGTTTAACCCTGACCAGCACCACACACCTGCTTGCTTCCTCCTGCTTGGTGGGTTGTGGGGGAGAATTGGAAGGGTAAAAGAAAAAAACTCGTGGGTTGAGATAAAAACTCATCATTAAAAAGAAATGTAGAAAAAAAATTTGTAAGGGAAAAAAAACAACAAAGAGAGGAAAACAAAGCCCAAGAGCATCAAGAGATGTTGTCCCAGCTGTGCCCTCTCCCAGGTTTTTGTGCACCCTCAGTGGAGCTGCTGACAGAGGAGGTGAGGAGCAGAGAAGGCCTTGGGGCTGTGCAAGCCCTGCTCAGCAAGAACTAAAGCATCCCTGTCTTATCAGCACTGTTGTCAGCATGAGTCCAAAGCACAGCCCCAGACAAACTGCTGTGAAGAAATTTAACTCTATCCCAGCACAAGCCCTCCCTTTGTTCTCATGCCTGTAGGCTGAAAGTAGATAGATGTAAAGAATAAAGTGCCAAATAAAAATGAATTTTGTTTCTGTTCCAATAATTATAAATTATATTCAGCAGTAAATGTTTCTGCTTCTTATCCATCTCAAATCCACCTCAGCATGAGGAAGAACTTTCCTGTGAGGGTGACAGAGCCCTGGGACAGGCTGCCCAGAGAGGTTGTGGAGTCTCCTTCTCTGGAGCCTTTCCAGCCCTGTCTGGATGCCTTTCTGAGTGACCTGCCCTGGTTTTGGTCCTGCTCTGGCAGGGGGGTTGGACTCGATGATCTTTGGAGGTCCCTTCCAACCCCTGACACTCTGTGATTCTCTGAAATAGCTGAGCACCTTATTTTCCAAATGTTTCCATCTCCTTTTGCAAAAAAACCCTTTTCTTGACATTCTTTATTCTCACATTATGGTTATGAAAGACTTGGTGAACATCTCATGAACCAACTCTTGGCCACCTTGCGATAAGTAGCTCCTTTTCAGGAAGTTGGGCCAGTGCAGATGTTTCAACCTTGATAAATCATGTTAAAAAAAAAAAAAAAAAGAATTAATTTACATTTTTGTTACAAAGTAGCAGCATTTCTTGGTACTGAGAGCATGTTTTTTCCTCTGTGAGTGTAGGTGGTTCAGAAGCTGACCCAGATGATTGGGAAGAACGTGAAGCTCTATGACATGGTGCTGCAGTTCCTGAGGACCCTGTTCCTGAGGACCAGGAATGTCCACTACTGCACCCTGCGGGCAGAGCTCCTCATGTCCCTGCATGACCTGGAGATCAGTGAAATCTGCAACGTCGACCCCTGCCACAAGGTGTGAATCATGTGGGACAGAAGGGACTGGAGGGAGTCCAGAGGAGGCCACAGAGATGATCTGAGGGCAGAACCTGGGCCCATCCAAGCCATGAGCAGCCTCATCTTGTTTTTTGAAAGGGTGGGGGAAAAGCCCTTCATTTTAGGTCAGGTAAACTGTTTTGTTTAACTGTCTTTTTCCATGCTGATAACACAGCTCCCCAGCAGAAGCACCTCCACTGTCAGTATCCCCTCCTTAGGGGGTGCCAGTGGCGTTGCAATGGCTAAAATATCCCATAATATCATTGCTGAGTGATGCTGTTTCTGTGTAAGCCTCCCACTTGTGTGAATCCACATTGATCAGGTGTGTGGGCAGTGATGTATTAATTGCTGCTCTTAATTGCCAGGGAATGTCATTCCTGGGAGGGAGGAAGGGGCAGCAGGTTCATGTCCCTGGATATCTCTGCCCTTTGGGAGGTTTGTGTTTCTGGGCTCCTGTGCTTGTCACCAGCTTGTACTGTACCTAAGTGTATGGAAAGAACACACTGATTCATTGAGTCTCAGTCTGGTTTGGGTTGGAAGGGACTTCAAAGATCATGTAGATCCAACCCATGGACACCTCCCACCAGCCCAGGTTGCTCCAAGCCCCACCCAACCTGCCCTTCAACACTGCCAGGGATGGGGCAGCCACAGCTTCCCTGGGCAATCTGGGCCAGGCTCTCACCACCTCCCCTTTTTCCTCTCCCTCCCTGCCCTTGTCCCAAGTCCCTCCCCAGCTTTCCTGGAGCCCCTTCAGGCCCTGGAAGGTGCTCTAAGGTCTCCCTGGAGCCTTCTCTTCTCCAGGCTGAACACTCCCAACTCGGGATATTTGGAGATTATTCTTAGCCTGTTTTCTGTGACATAAATGTTTCTGCTGGTTTAAGGCTTTTCAAGGGTCCATCAAGCTTCTCCTCTTTGTTTCCTGCAGTTCACCTGGTGCCTGGACGCCTGCATTCGGGAGAAGTTTGTGGACAACAAGAGAGCTCGGGAGCTGCAGGGGTTTCTGGATGGGGTGAAGAAAGGACAAGAGCAGGTGTTGGGGTGAGGCACTTGGGCTGTTTGTTGAGAAACTGGGAATGGGTTCCTGGCAGTCAGGACATCTGCTGGGTGCTGTGGGTGCTCGTGGTCCCTAGAGCTGGAGCAGCTCTTCTGTGCAGTCACATCCTGCGCATTCCTGAGCTGCACTGGGGCATGGCCAGGCATGTTCTGGTGACATGGCTTGTACTGCTCAAGCTGCCCCCCTGGATGTCCCCTGTGGCCTAGTAACTGACTGTGGGAGGTCTCCTGCTTCATTTCAGTGCAGGAGACCTGTAGTAATTATTTTCACATAATGTGCAGTTTCAAGTCAAAGAAATAACATCGCTGGGTTTTTTACGAGGCAGGAGGAGGTTCCTCAGGTGGGCACCTGTAGGTAACAAGGGACAGAGATTCACACTTTATGTTATCAGTGTAAAAATATTGGTACAGTACCTGCCCTGTGTCTGCCTCTTCTGTTGAACTCAGCAGTGTGTATGTGTGTTTATTAAAACATAGTGTCCACAGGCATACACTGTTCTGATGTCACATCTGATAGTTCATGGAGTCATAGAATTGATGATCTCAGAGGTCTTTTCCAGCCTCAGTAGTTCTGTGACAGAACCAGGCTGGTTTGGGCTGGAAGGGACCTTAAAGATCATCCAGTCCCAACCCCCTGCATGAGCAGGGACACCTCCCACCAGCCCAGGCTGCTCCAAGCCCCATCCAACCTGCCCTTCAACACTGCCAGGGATGGGGCAGCCACAGCTTCCCTGGGCAACCTGGGCCAGGGTCTCAACACCCTCAGGATTAAATGTGGGATCACAGCTGAAACATCCCACTCTGGTGATGTGCACTGGTCCTGCAGCTGGATACAGAGCTGTACAAACAATATCTCATGTATTTGGTTTTTATTTCTTCTCAGGGACTTATCAATGATCTTATGTGATCCCTTTGCCATTAACACCTTAGCCTTGAGTACCATAAGGCACCTGCAAGACCTGGTTGGGCAGGACACCTTACCCAGGGTGAGTGTCACAGCTTCTATACCTCATCCAAACTACAGTCTTTATTACACAGCATTCATCAGCAGAGTACTGGCACTGTAGAAGTACAATTAATTCTCAAATGCATGTGTACATTGAAATAAGGGAAACATGATGCTGCCTGGCCACTTGTAGCACAGACATTAGAGCTCTTCAGGACAATGTTTGGAGGTGGGAATTTTGGAGCTCTCCAAATTGACAAGGAACCTTTTGCATGGCTTATTCTATCCTAACAGCTGTGCATATACAGAGCATGTGCCTTCTACTGGGTTGCCTGACAGCAGCACCTTTTTTTTCCCCTGCCACAGTAAGTGCAGTGAATTAATTGCCACTGGTCTGGTCTGCTGACCTGCAAGCAGTGTCTGCAGGAGTGCTGAAAGGAGGGGAGCCTACAGGTGTCTGAGCAGTGTGAGGCATTGGCTGGTTTTATCCCTGAGGTGGTGGTGTTGGATTGAGTAACTTTTGAGTAGTAACTTTTTGAGTAACCTCATGAGAATTTAAGACTGAAAATGGTTTTGGTTTCAGGGCACAAAATAAAAGAAATAACATTGTCAGTCTTCCACATGGTTTCTTCTGCTGAGAAGACTTGGCTTGTCCTGTCACACACTGTATTTCAGGGTACTCATTTGGCTAGAGAGACGTGTAGAAACAGTGTCATGATCAGAGCAGCTACCCACTTTTTGGCATATTCTAAAATGTTACAAGACCCCACAGACCCTCAGAGTTGTCTGTTACTTGATTCCCATTAGAAGAATCAGTTGTTTGTTAAATCAGATAACTGAATATCTCTAGAAATCTTTGATAAAGCTACTAATCCAGGAGAGCTTTGAGTGTAAACCACTACTCCCAGATAAATATCTCTCTGTGCAACTTGTGGAAGACCAAAATGGCTGTTTTTCTCCTTCCCTTAAAATTCAAGGAAAGCCCAGATCTGCTGCTGCTCCTCAGGATGCTGTCTTTGGGACAGGGGGCCTGGGACATGATTGACAGTCAAGTCTTCAAGGAACCAAAAATGGTGAGCTGTTGAGATGGTTGGGATTTAACGTGTTCATCTAAACAAATTCAGACTTGTTTATTGTTTCACTGTGTCCCTGATCCAATGTTCGTTCTGCAAACCTCTCCTTGTAGCTTTCTTATAAAAAGCATGTCAGTGGTCACAGAGCAGCAGCTCTAGTGGACATGTTGGAAGCTTCATTTACCTGCTTGTTTATTTACATGGATGCCTGGCCCTTAATGCTTTAAAAATGAAACTGTACCTCTGTTAAATTCTCACTGGTTGCTCTTTGCTCCTGGGAGCTTCTACACAACTGATGGATTGGTTATAAGATCTTGTTTGAGGAAAGTAGGATTTCAGAGGCTGGTCTGAAACTGGCAGCACTCAAGTTTTCATTGACATGAAAAGTGGTTTTCCCCTCCAGGTACCTGTTGGAACAATCCTGTGTGATGCCACATCCAGCTACAAGCTTTCCATGGTTTGGGAACACTTTGCTTGGTGTTTTAGGCAACCCTAATGTGATCTGGGAGCAGATGTGATCTGGAACACCTGCCTTATGAGGAAAGGCTAAGAGACCTAGAGCTTTCAGTCTAGTGAGGAGAAGACTGAGGGGGCATCTAATTCATGTCTATTAATACGTGAGGGCATCAAGAAGGCAGGACAAGCTCTTGTCACTTGTGTGCTGGGACAGGACAAGGGGCAATGGATTCAAACTGGAGCCCAGGAAGTTCCACCTCAAGATGAGGAAGAACTTCTTTGCTGTGAGGCTGACAGAGCCCTGGGACAGGCTGCCCAGAGAGGTTGTGGAGTCTCCTTCTCTGGAGCCTTTCCAGACCTGTCTGGGTGCCTTTCTGAGTGTCCTGCCCTAGTTTTGGTCCTGCTCTGGCAGGAGGGTTGAACTTGATGATCTTTGGAGGTCCCTTCCTATCCCTGACACTCTTTGTGATGTGTGCTCAGCTGGTGGCAGGAGGGTTCACCATGGTGTTGCACAGCAGGGCTGTTTCTGAAGAGAAATTTCCTGTTTCTGCTCTGAATGTAAAGCAGCAAATGTCTGCCTGGGGGCACATCTCGACTCTCCAAAATGTTTTACTGGCTGAAATGTCCAAATCAGTATTTAAAAACCTGTTCTACTTGTGATTGCCACAGCTGCAACCTCCCACTCAGTCACTGATACAGCACAGGTTGATGTGCCTTGTGTGAGGAGCTGCTCTTTATTGTTGCTTCTGATGGTATTTGATGCTATTCATGCATTGACCCCTGTCAGCTCAGGGAATGAACAAATTGATTTGGACTTGTTGATACACAAGCAGTTTGGGACCACCCCTAAGGTGCAGTGCTGGCAGCTGTGGTGGAAAAGACCTCACAGAAGAAATGCTGCTTGATGTCAAAAGAGAAAATTTGAGCAGAAGTATTTCTGTAGATGAGGTGAAGAACAGTTTTCTAAATTACCAGTGGAACATGAGTGGCTTATTGAAGAATTTTGACTGGAATGAGGTGTCTCAAAGCTTGTTTTCCTTAAGGGTAGGATGGGGCTCATTACCTCAATGTTGGTTACACTGCTCTGGCAGCATCTTGCGGCATGAACTGATTGATGAAGGGGTTCTTCTTTTCCCTCTGCTCTTCTATCCCTCCAAGGAAGCTGACTTGATCACCAAGTTCTTGCCTATGCTGATGTCCTTTGTTGTGGATGATCACACTTTCAACGTCGATCAGAAACTGCCCTCAGAGGAGAAGGGGCCAATTCCCTACCCCAGCACCATTCCTGAAGCTTTCACCAAGTATGTCACCTGCCTCACCTCCTGGGCACCTTTAGTCTTGTTACCAAAGCAAAACACCAAGGAGCCAGACAGAACTGTCAGGGAAAAAAAAAAGCTTTATGTGGTAAAATGGAGACTATCTTGGAGTAAGATGTAGTCCTGGTTAATCAAACATGGACTTCCCCTTTAGAACAGGTTTCCACCACAATTCCTCAAATACAATTTTTTGTAGTTAAATTTTATTTCTTGTAATGACAGATTGCAGATTAATATTTTTGGTATTATTGCTTTCAAATATGGTGCTTGTGTGGCTTTCCAAGCAGATACTTGATATATGTGGTGGGATTTGGGTGCAGCTGGGTGAGTGCCCATGCTTGGCTCTGAAACGTGCTGTTGCAAATTGCAGTGTTTGCATTTTTGTCACACAGACACTTGCTGTTGATAACCTATCTCTCCAGGGATGTCAAAAAGAGAAATCAAACTTGTGTGTGCTCTGTTGTGCTCACATCTTGCACTAATGTCCAGACTCTGCCAGACTCTGTACTGTATCCTGGTAGCTGTGATCTGCTCTGTGACAGTGTTGAAATTTGATCTTTGGGAAACTAAAACTAAACAGTCATGGACTTTATATCATCTTTGAGTGTCTGGGCTTCTTCTAAACCCCACTTTGAATAGCATTTCTGTCATTGCTACTATGATAAATGTTCACAATCAAACCCAACTGTTTGGTTGTGAGATAGTGCAGTGTTTGCTGAATGGTCAGTTTTTCTGGACTATGGTGGTGAACTCAGTCACTGAGCAGCTGCTCTTCAGGGGGTTTAAGGTTAGCCACTGCTGTAACTGCTTGACTGCTATCCAACAGTATTTAAACCTTCTTTAAAAAAAAGAAAATCTCTTTTAGCTTTATTCATTAAGAAACTTTGCTTCTACCGTAACAGATTCCTGCAGGAGAACAGAATAGCCTGTGAGATTGGGCTGTATTACATCCTTCACATCACCAAACAGAGGAACAAGAATGCCTTCCTTAGGCTGCTGCCAGCACTAGGTAAGGTTTTGTTTCATCTTCTGTTCTCTAGCTAGTTTGCCTTGTACTGGACACCTGGGAAGCAAGTAAACCAGGAGTGAAAGTGATTTCAGAGTCAAAATGTTCTGCTCTGGCTCTTCTGGTCACTTAGTTGTAAGGCCCTGCAGAAGTATTTGTTCTTGCCTGCAGTTTGGATACTTTTCTGCTGATCTGAATTTAGAGGCAGTGGCTGAAGGTCAGGAATTCCTTACATCAAAATATTGACAGTGGGATTAGCTGAGATCTGCTTGGAATGAATCTGAAAGACAAGCAGGTGACTTAATTCTGCTGCTCATAATAATTGCATGTGGCCAGAGATTCCTGGTGAGGTGAAAAACCCTGTAACAAAACAGGACTAAACACAGCCTTAAATTCTTCTCTGGGATTCCCTTCTGCACTGACTTCTCTGGGCTAAGGTGCAGGAGATCTCTGAAGCAATCTTAGGAATTGCAGCTCCTAGTAATGGTCTGCGGGGGTTCACTTCCCACTCCCTCACCCCAGCTCTGGTGTCCTTTGAAGCCTTTGAGCTGTCCAGTTACATGGGTGAGTTTTCCTCTGGTGAATGGTTTGTAGCTGCTCCCTATGGAATCTGAGGGGTGCAAGGAGGTGGATGTGGCCATGAACAGAGGGTGGTGGAGATGGGGACTTTGTAGCAAGCTGCTCTGGGACTTCAGCCTTGATGGAGACCTGGGCTTTCTGCATATTCTTCTCACCCCTCTGCTCCTAATCTTTTATGTGTGGAAGATCAAAGCCACCTGCCTGGGCTACCTGTTTTAAAAGCCACTAAGAAAAATCTCACTGCAGTTTTCAGCA